CCCTGGGGGACAGGAGCCATCCCCGGGGGTCCCATCCCAAATCCCAGTGGATGGGGAATTCCCATGGGGAATGGCCCTGGCACCAAAGGGGTCCTGACCTAGGTCGTGACCCCTGTCCTGACCCCATCCTGGGGGTCCTGATCCCAATCCCGGGGGTCCTGACCCCAATCCCGGGGGTCCTGACCCCAATTCAGGGGGTCCTGACCCCAATCCCGAGGATCCCCACCCCAATCCCGAGGGTCCTGACCCCAATCCTGGGGGTTCTGACCTCGATCCCGAGGGTCCTGACCCCAGTTCAGGGGGTCCTGACCCCAATCCCGGGGGTCCTGACCCCAATCCCGGCACTCCCGAGGCTCCCAGCCCCACATCCCAGTGCACGGGGACATTCCTGGGGTGTCCCTTCCCTTGGGAATCGTTCCCGGTGTCACAGGGGGGGGATGTGATGTCCCTGTCCCCCCCTGGAATTCCCCCATTCCTGGCCCGAGCTGTCCCCTCTGGGGCCATCCCCCAGTGTCCCTTTGTCCCCTCCCTTGGTGTCCCCCCTCGCTGACCCCCAGCTCTGCCCCCCCCCAGGCTGCAGGACTTGGATCGGGATGAGGAGAACCTGGGAGAGAAGGTGAGTGCAGGATGTCCCCACTGTCACCTGGGCAGTGCCTGTGTCCCCTGCAATGTCCCCACGCTGTCCCCAATGTCCCCAGGAGAGTGTCCAGGAGAAGCTCAGCCTCATCCATGGATTCCTATCCCTGCTGTCCCCAATGTCCCCACACTGTCCCCAATGTCCCCACGCTGTCCCCAGTGTCCCCACACTGTCCCCACACTGTCCCCAATGTCCCCACGCTGTCCCCAGTGTCCCCACACTGTCCCCACGCTGTCCCCAATGTCCCCAGGAGAGTGTCCAGGAGAAGCTGAGCCTCATTCCTGGGTTCCTGCCCTTGATGTCCCCACCCTGTCCCTGCTGTCCCCAATGTCCCCGTGGTGTCCCCAACGTCCCTACACTGTCCCCAGTGTCTCCAGGATGTCCTCAATGTCCCTGCTGTCCCCAAGAGGGCATCCAGGAGAAGCTGAGCCTCATCCATGGGTTCCTGTCCCTGCTGTCCCCAATGTCCCCACACTGTCCCCACTGTCCCCAGGAGAGTGTCCAGGAGAAGCTCAGCCTCATCCGTGTCCCTATGCTGTCCCCACAATGTCCCCACG